CAGCCTGGGCCTAGAGGGTGATAGTGCCCAGACACAGGCTGAGCCTACAGGGCGATAGTACCCAGACACAGACTAGGCCTTGCAGGCAACAGTACCCAGACACAGACTGGGCCTAGAGGGTGATAGTACCCAGACACAGACTAGGCCTTGCAGGCAACAGTACCCAGACACAGCCTGGGCCTAGAGGGTGACTGTACCCAGACACAGCCTGGGCCTAGAGGGTGACTGTGCCCAGACACAGCCTGGGCCTAGAGGGTGACTGTGCCCAGACACAGCCTGGGCCAAGAGGGTGACAGTGCCCAGACACAGCCTGGGCCTAGAGGGTGACAGTGCCCAGACACAGCCTGGGCCTAGAGGGTGACTGTGCCCAGACACAGCCTGGGCCTAGAGGGTGATAGTGCCCAGACACAGCCTGAGCCTAGAGGGCGACAGTGTCCAGACACAGCCTGGGCCTGGAGGGTAATAGTGCCCAGACACAGCCTGGACCTAGAGGGCAACAGTGCCCAGACACAGCCTGGGCCTAGAGGGCGATAATGCACAGACACAGCCTGGGCCTAGAGGGTGATAGTGCACAGACACAGCCTGGGTCTTAAGTGAACCTGATACCATCTGAGTAGATCATCGATCATAGAATTCCTACAGGGTGAAAACAGGCCCTTCGGCCAACAAGTCCACACCGACCCATGGAGCATCCCACCCAGATGCATACACCTATAACCCACCTAAGCTACACATCCTTGAACACTATGGGTAATTTATTTTGGCCGATCCACCCTAACCTGCACATCTTTGGACTGTGGGAGGAAACCGGAGCACCCGGAGGAAACCCACGCAGACACGGGGAGAATGTGCAAACTTCACGCACATGGCTTATTTGTTCTAAAAGTGAGAACACAATACCTGCAATTTTCATCCTCCAATTGAACAACATGCTCAAGAGATCTCATTCACTAACGTGAAGCATACCCAGCCTCTCTAATAACGTCCCTTTGTTAATTTTAACCTAGTCAGTGTTTCAACCATTTCCACTTGCTCTGTGGACAGGACAATGTCCTGCGAGAGGCTGTGAAGATGGATTCTGGAATGTGATGTTTGAGGGCAGGGACAGGAGATGTCCCACAGTTTCCAGCTCCCACTCTCTCAGTGTCATGGAATTAAACATCCCCCTTCCCGCACCATGCCCCCAACCACAACGCCAGTGTGTCCCCTTCCTTATCCCCTGCTGCCTTCCTATCACAGCACCACCGTGACCAGTCTCTCCCTCTTACACCCTACCCGCATCCCACACCCTTCCCCCTTCCTGACCCCTCCCCTTCCCTTCTCCTCACTCACCTTTCCCCCATTTCTCCCCATCCCCTTGCACACCCTGTTTCCCCCCAAAACCCTGTCCCCTTACTACCCCCCTCTCCCTCCACTCTCCCTATCCGCATCCCCCCCCAACTCCTGGCACCTAGTGGGGAGGAATGCAGGGGTTGGGTGCGGACCTTTCTGAACGTAGATGGCAGAGGCGACAGTCAGGATGGACTTGCGGAAGCCCTCGATACTAGAGCACAGGGTGTAGTGGGAGCAGTTCAGAGACAGGAGGTGCAGGGATCGTTCAATTTGTTTCTCTGTCTCATTCACAGCACCTAGAGTGATGGAGAAAGAGAACGGGATTAGAATTTTTCTCAGGTCCAGCTCCCAGCTCCATCTTGGTAGTAGAGGTATACAGATGTACAGCATGGAAACAGACCCTTTGGTCCAACTCGTCCATGCTGACCAGATTTCCGTAATTAATCTAGTCCCATTTGCCAGCATTTGGCCCATATCTCTCTAAAACGCTTCCTATTCATATACCCATCCAGATGCTTTTTAAATATTGTAATTGTACCAGCCTCTACCACTTACTCTGGCAGATCATTCCATACACGCACCACTCTCTGCGTGAAAATGTTACCCTTTAGGTCCCTTTTAAATCTTTCCCCTGTCACTTTAAACCTATGCCGTCTAGTTTTGGACTCCCCCACCCTGGGGAAAAGGCCTTGTCTATTCACCCTGTCCAAGCGCCTCATGATTTTATAAACCTCTATAAGGTCACCCCTAAGGCTCTGACACTCCAGGGAAAATAGCCCCAGTCTATTCAGCCTCTCCCTATAGCTCAAACCCTCCAACCCTGGCAACATCCTTGTAAATCTTTTCTGCTCCCTTTCAAGTTTCACAACATCCTTCCTATAGCAGGGAGACAAGAATGCTCACAGTATTCCAAAAGAGGCCCAACCAATGGCTATACAGCTGCAACATGACCTCCCAACCTATACTGACCAATAAAGGCAAATTTACCAAACTCCTTCTTCACTATCCTATCTACCTGCAACTCCATTTTCAAGGTAATATGAACCTGCACCCCAAGGTCTCTTTGTTCAGCGACACTCCCCAGGACCTTACCATAAAGTGTATAAGTCCTGCCCTGATTTGCCTTTCCAAAATGCAGCACCTCACATTTATCTAAATTAAACTCCATCTGCCACTCCTTGGCCCAATGGCCCATCTGATGAAGTCCCATTGTACTCTGAGATAACCTTCTTTGCTGTCCACTGCACTCCCAAACTAGTGTCATCTGCAAACTTACTAACCATACATCCAATGTTCACATCCAAATCATTTCTATAAATGACAAAAAGCAGTGGACCCAGCACCGATCCTTCTGGCACACTGCTGGTCACAGGCCTCCAGTCTGAAAAGCAACCCTCCACTACATAGAACATAGAACATAGAACATTACAGCGCAGTACAGGCCCTTCGGCCCTCGATGTTGCGCCGACCTGTGAAACCAATCTGAAGCCTATCTAACCTAAACTATTCCATTATCATCCATATGTTTATCTAATGACCATTTAAATGCCCTTAAAGTGGGTGAGTCTACTACTTTTGCAGGCAGGGCATTCCACGCCCTTACTACTCTCTGAGTAAAGAACCTACCTCTGACATCTGTCCTATATCTATCACCCCTCAACTTAAAGCTATGTCCCCTCGTGCTAGCCATCACCTACAATCCTCTGTTTCCTACATTTGAGCCAGATTAGTATCCAAATGGCTATTTCTCTCTGAATTCCATGTGATCTAACCTCGCGAACCAGTCTACCATGAGGAACCTTGTTGAATGCCTTGTTGAAGTCCATGTAGACAACGCCCAATGCTTTTCCTTCATCAATCTTCTTTGTCACTTCTTCAAAAACTCAATCAAGTTAGTGAGACACGATTTCTCACACAGAAAGCCATGTTGACCATTCTTAATCAGTCCTTGCCTCTCCAAAGACATGTAAATCTTGTCCCTCAGAATCGTCTCCAACAATTTGCACACCACGTTGTCAGGCTCACCGGTCTATAGTTCCCTGGCTTTTCCTTACCACCTTTCTCACATAGTGGCACCACCCTCCAGTCTTCCAGCACCTCACCTGTGGCTATCGCTGATACAAGTATCTCAGCAAGGGGCCCAGCAATCACTTCCCTAGCTTCCCACAGAGTTCTAGGGTACACCTGATCAGGTCCCGGGGATTTATCCACCTTTACGCATTTTAAGACATCCAGCACCTCCTCCTCTGTAATATGGACACTTTTGAAGATATAGTTATTTATCTAGCTTCCATATCCTTCTCTACAGCAAACAAAATACTCATTGTCATCACACGCTAAACCTGAATGAGCTCAGCAATAGGAGCTGGCCATTCAGGCCCTCGATTTTGTCCTTGTGGATCATGGCTGCTTTACTTTTCACTCTTAATAAACCTGAGGCCTTCCCAAAACTCTGCTGCTAGTGTCTTCACTCATTCCCCAATACCACCCCCACCCCATGCTTTCTGATCATAACGGACTCCAATCCTGCAACACCTCAAGATTAAATTTCTCATACTTGTTTATTAATCCTTCTGTGGCCTCACTCCTCCCCGTCTCCTTGTGCAGTCACCTCCAACCCAACTCTTCCCTGAGGACTGTGCCTTCCTGCCTCTTGGTGTGCCCCAGTTGGAATCGCCCCACCCCTGGTGGCGGTGCCTTCAGTTGTTGCTGCTTTTTACCTGGAGATCTCAGGCAGATGTTTCTCAAGCACCTCGATGGAGCTCTTGAGTCTCTCCCAGGCGGCAGCCTGAGACTAAGCTCACACTTCCCACTGCAGAGACATCCAGCCATAGGTCAGGGGCAGATGGACAGAATATTGATGCAGGATGAGGAGGGAGTTGCAGAGACGAAGGCTCACATGGCAGAAGGCACGGCCACCAGCAGTGGGCGATGGACTGCTCCCTCCCTCCATCCCTCCCTCCCTGCCTCCATCCATCACTCTATCCCCCTCTGAACATCCTGACTGCTCCCTCCATCTTTCCCTCCCTCTGTCCCTATAAGTGCCCTGCACTCTGACCCCTGCTGCCAATGAGTGTGAATGGAGGGGTTACCCAGGCTGAGTTGAGCAAGTCCCAGTACAATGCTCAATGGGGAAATGATAACATTGGGTTTGCTGGTCTCCTGTAAAATCTCCTTGAACAGGTCCAAGCCAAACTTGGAGATGGCGTCTCCCAAAAGCTGTAGGCCCGCTGGTACCCCAGCCTGTTGGCAACCTGGTGCTGCCGCCACGGGATGGAACAGCTCAGGTCCAGGAGAGTCAACCAGACTGGCACCCGTTCCAGTTACCAGGGCCTCTCCTGGCATCGGTGTTCCTGATGTAACATCTGGGTGCTCCGTCACAGGTAGCTGGGTGACTGGGTGCTCTGTACCCAATAGCCCGCCTATCTCTGTCTGATTTCTTTCTTTGTCCAGTTTATCTGTGACCTGCAGAGGTTAAAAACAACCAGTGAAAGCAAATTGAACTAATTTTGCTGGACGGTAATACGCAGATAAAAGAAACAGAGACTTAACTTCTATGGCAACTTTAACAGTGTGCAGCCTCACAAAATAAAAACTGAAAGAACTGAGGATGCTGTAAGTCAGAAACACAAAACAGACATTGCTGGAAAAGCTCAGCAGGTCTGGCAGCATCTGTGAAGAGCAATCAGAGTTAATATTTCGGGTCCGTTCTGAGGAAGGGTCACTGGACCCGAAACGTTAACTCTGATTTCTCTTCACAGACGCTGCCAGACCTGCTGAGCTTTTCCAGCAATTTCTGTTTCTGTTGCAATCTGACAAGTCAGTTTGAAGGGTAGTCCCTGTACTGTGCATGCTCTATCTGTCTTTGATCTCCACTATCCTATGCATTTTTCTGGTGGCTTTTCCTTCGGAAAACTTTTGTACTATAACAAAGGCCAGCATTTATTGCCCATCCCTAGTTGCCCCCCTTGAGAAGGTGGTGGTGAGCTGCCTTTTTGAACCGCTGCAGTCCATGTGCTGTGGGTTAACCCCCAATACCCTTAGGGAGGGAATTCCAGGATTTTAACCCAGCGACAGTAAAGGAATGGGAATATATTTCCATATAAGAATGGTGAGTGGCTTGGAGGGGAAATTGCAGGGGGTGGTGTTCCCATATACCTGCTGCCCTTGTCCTTCTAGATGGAAGTGCTCGAGGGTTTGGAAGGTGGGGGAAATTTGTTATGCACGCACACACATACATTCACACAGTCAGAGTGAGACACACAGTTAGGAGTTTGAGAGGAGTGGAAGCGTTTGTGGAGAATATATGAAGAGAAAAGGATTAGTGAAGACAAATAGAGATCCCCTACAGTCAGAAACAGAGGAATTTATAATCAGGAACAAAGTGATGGCAGCCAAATAAATACATC